ACTAATATGTGGTCTAATTCTGGAGACAGCATGTTATAGATCTGGGTATGAGGTTCAGCCTTCAAGTTACTGGACAACACTGGCCATTGTGTGGGGCCACCCTCCTTTCACGGGGACAGAGCACTTTCTATGGCTACTGATTCTCTGCAGATCACAGCACCCCTGTGATCTGACACCACCTACTTCTTCCATGGAGCTCCCAGGACAGAACGCCCCAGAGGAAGGGGCTCTGGATGGCCCATGCAGGGCAGGCCACCTCTTCAGCTGCTTTTTCCTCCAGTGTTAAAGAGCCACTCCGTGTGTCTCCACAGCAAGCTGGGCATCAGGGAAGGGGAGGCAGGAGCTGCCTTTCTGAAATCTGAGTGTCCATTTCAATTTATGTGTTGGTGATTGCAGCAGCGCAGGTCAATTCTTTGCAGATGGTATGTGTTTAAAAATCTGTAGCTGCAGTTGCTTTATTGGGTAGAGTGGGGGAAAGGTCACTGAACTAGGAGAACTGGCTCCTGATCTAATAATGTTTTCTCGCTGCAACCTGCACTACCAAACCCTAGAACCTGGCAAGGGGTGATGGGGGATTAAGAAAGACATAGAAACATTTATAAGGAGAAAGCTGGGACAAAGTGGAACACCTTCCTCTGATGGAGAAACAGTGACCCAGAGCTAGCACAGCATGTTTATTACATAGGTTTTATCATCAAAAGGTTATTTGTAGGAAAGTTTCTGCAAAGCAGGCAGGCTTGAAGTTCATAGCACTGATAAACGTTACCGGTGGTGAGTTCTGCTCCCTCAAATGTTGAAGTTTGAACATTAGAGAAGCATATAGGCAAATATATATATATACATACGTATACATATATATATATATATACATACACACACACACACACACACACAAGCATATGAAGCAGGGTTTATTTAAACAGGGATAACATAGACTTCTCCCAGGAGGGAGAAAGGTGCCATAGCTGATATCCTGGTATCCCCAGAAGCGAGGTGTTCGGCCCTCTTTATATGTCCTAGGCTTCCTTTGTTCTCCTGCCCTCTTCCCCTTATCTTTCCCCTTCCTGTGTACTTGACTAGGCCCAGGAATGCTCAGTGGGATGGCCAAAAGATGGGAAACAGGTGGGCTGAAGAGGGAAGGGCAAGATGGTGCAACCCAGGACACATTAACAACCTTATAGCTCCCTATAGGGAGGGGCAACTCTTGGGACAGGTTACCTTAACAACAGGTTGGAGCAGGGACAGGTTCTTGATAAGGGTGGAGGAAGGGCTCTGAAAGAATTAATATTTCAATCCCTCAGAGGACAGTCTCCAACTTGCTGGACTCACTCAAAACTAGCCTCCTGGGTCTGATCTGACTGGATTTACCTACCTATACTGACTGCCTGTCTAATTCTGGCTTTAGCACTTGCAAGATATTGTGGTTACCTTGTTATACTCAGAACTCTGTCCCTGGCAGCTGGTGTCTGAACTCAAAGTCAAGACAGTTATTGTTCCATGCCTTAGCATCAAACACTCTGTACCTTTGCATGGAACTACCATACTTCCAAGGAAATCTCATCCTGCATCTTTGCACAGAATGTTTCCGGGGCAAAGTTTAGCCACAGCTCTGAGGCAGTCAAAGACCATGGTCCAAGTCACCATTCTCCATATTTTCCCCCCCATTTGTAAATGTTTATTCAGCTTGTTGTCGCGGGCCAGCCAGGGGCTGTGTGGGTAAGCTGTGAGCATTTTGAGTGCCTGAGCGGACTGGACTGATGTTACTGTTCTGTCTGGGCTGAGCACGTACATGTCCTTTTAGCTCGCTCTGCCTTTGATCCCACACAGCACCTGAGATGGGTGTGACTTGCCAAGAGGTCAACCAATCTACTAACCACAAGACATCAGGAAGCTAGATTCAACCCCCTGAAACTTAACCCCTTACTTTTTTTGGATGGAATGTTCCACTGAACCTCCCCTTGTGTGTCCCCTATAAAAATAAAGAATTCAGGAGGCTCTGTGTCTCTCTCTCTCTTTTCAATGGACTCCTGGAGTCGAGAGCAGAAAAAGGTATTCTGTCTGTGTAATTATTTTGTGCCAATCCAAATCCACCTGGATTGTCCCGGAATGATTTAGTTGTGTGTCGCAGCAGCTTGTATTTTCAAAAACACCTTCCATGTACTCTTCTTTCTCGGTCTGCTCAGTGTCCAATTAGGCTAAGCTGTATGGTTAGCTTCAGCTAGAGACTCACTTGCAAGATACACAAGGTCAATAGAAGAGTGAACTCAAGGTACTGAGTGGCCCCCACTTCCATCTCATCATAGGGTGTCTGCCTTTCTACAGGAAGGCAACAGTTCCTGCCAGGCAGCCTCTTCTTTGAGCCCACAGTTCTTCACAAAACCTTGTTGGATCTCTTTGTTTCTAACCTTCCCATGCCTTTGCAAACACTGTGAAACTCTATGAAACTCTTAATGTTACCCAATTTGCCCATGCCATTTGCTTCCTGCCAGAACTCCAAGCCACACAACCCCAAACTGAACACTACCAACAATTAGATATGTGAGTTGAGAAGCAATACTCTTTCTCTGGGAATTGATACTGCAAACATATCACTGCTGTTTAAAATAGTATCTCATCTAATAGTCCCAACAAGCCTTTCAGATAAGCACAATGTATTCAGAGACTTCATGATGAAACTTTGCTGAAGACTCCTCAGCTGTTAAGGAGCAGGGTCAGACAGGACCATATGCAATCGGACTCCATAAGCATCAACCTGTTCTGGAAAGAGCTCCAGGTACCAGGAGCTCTAGAAAAAGGCTTGGTAAGGAATTAAGAGATAAGGAGGGCTGGGCTGTGTGTCTCACAGATCACCTGATACACGATTGCCCGGGATGCCTTTGCAAAAATTCAGATTTGTGCAACTGTATCTCTTTCAATCTTTCAGCTTCAGCAGTCGTATTAGTAAGTCTCTTTCCACACTCACCACATGATCTCCTGATTGACTTTGCTCTTAGCAGGCATTCTTCCTTTCAGAAAGCTTTGAATTTGCACAAAGAAGCCTCATACAGAGACTTGGAGGGTGTCCCAAAGGCGAGCCAATGGGAGTGGTGCGACTGGTCCCGCCGGCGTTGGCTTCCCCGGATGGAGTAAAGAACCCTGCCCCACAACCCCAGGCGGTTCTGAGACCATTTTCTCATTTTCTCCCTGGATCCCGAATGGCTGCGACACTGATCCTGGAGCCCGCGGGCGGCTGCCACTGGGACGAGCCGGTGCACATCGCGGTGCGCGGCCTGGCCCCCGAACAGCCGGTCACGCTGCGCGCGTCCCTGCGCGACGAGAAGGGCGCGCTCTTCCAGGCCCACGCGCGCTACCGCGCGGACGCGGACGGCGAGCTGGACCTGGCGCGCGCGCCCGCGCTGGGCGGCAGCTTCGCGGGCCTGGAGCCCATGGGGCTGATCTGGGCCATGGAGCCTGATAAGCCGTTTTGGCGCCTGGTGAAGCGGGACGTGCAGACGCCCTTTGTGGTGGAGCTGGAGGTGTTGGACGGCCACGAGCCCGACGCCGGGCAGCAGCTGGCCCGAGCGCTGCACGAGCGCCACTTCATGCCGCCCGGGGTGCGGCGGGTGCCGGTGCGCGAGGGCAAAGTGCGGGCCACGCTCTTCCTACCTCCAGGTGAGCCTCCACTTGGCCTTTATTGTTTCCGTCTAGCACTGTCTCTGGTCTCCGTGTTATTTCGCCTAAGAAAGAGGTAGATCCTAACATCCCAGAGGTCCGTGTTAAGAAGATAGCAATGGAATAAAAAGCTGCCTGGGGAGGTGGTCCTGATGCTCCAGATCTGAGATTCTTCCGCTATAAAGACATCATAAGGAAAAGGGAAAGACACTTCTAATAATTTTTAAAAGCCATTGTAGGTAGTTTCAATTTTTCGGTGTTCTTTTAAAAGTTTCTCAGTTTTACAACTTTTCTTCCCATTCCCACAGTATGTTAAGATTTATGTAAATTGGCCATTGCAATAGGAGGAAGTTCACTTTCTGGAGATTATTGGGTGTTTATATACATAAAGTTATTGGTCAGTGAAAAAAAAATGAATGGATGCTTAGCCTCATTAGTAATGAAGGAGATGCAAAAATAAAACTATAGAATGCATCTCATAACCTCAGGAGTGGCAAAGATTTAGAAGTCTAACATGACCAATTGTTGCCAAGTACCTGGAGGAGAGAAACTCACATTCGCAGCAGAAGCAGTCACAGTGTTCAGCTATTCTGGTCACAGTGTTCAGCTACTGCAGTTACCTAGTTGAATATGGCTTTTTACTTGTTCTGGTACATGTGCACCCAGAGGCATGTTGTTTGCTAACAGCCCGAATATCCACCAACAGTGGAAGTGATGGATAGGTGGAGCTGTGTTTCCAGCAAAGTAATGAACCACAACTGCAATAATCAACATGGACTAGTGTTCCCCACAGGTTAGGTGAAACAATCAAACCCCAGGAGAACACGTTCAGTATATTTGCACTGAGATAAAATTCAAAAGACAGGCAAAAGGAGCAAAATGTTGTTTAGGTACATATGTACATATATAAGTGGTGATATTACCAAGAAAACTGGCAGGCCATGGTGGCCCAGGAAGATGGGATGTTCTAGGCCAGCCTCAGCAATTTAGAGAGATCCTGTCCAAAAACAAAACAAAAAAGGCTGGAATATACCTCAGTGATGGATCTCCCCCTGGGTTCAATCCTCATTACATGTGTGTGTGTGTGTGTGTGTGTGTATAAATACATACTTGAACACACACATGTACATATCAAGAAAACTGAGAGATGGGGAGGTGGGGAAGGGACAGAAAGATTCAGGGAATTACAATGTATGAGTACTGAACTATTTTCTAAACAGAATGGTGCCTAGCAAGTGTTTGTTATGTTTTTCTGTAAACTGTATATATGAAAGAGAGATTTTCTTATTATATAAATGGTGAAAGTATCTTATATGTGTAATCATGCAGAATGAAGCTTTTTATTTTTTATTATGGGGTTGAGGATTGAACCCAAGGCCTTGCACCTCCTAGTCAAGTGCTCCACCTATATACTCCCAGCCCCAGTAAGTAGCATTTTGAGTCTGTGCCCATTGGCTAATCAGATTATCTTTGAGACTTACTGACCTGTTCTGTGTGGTGCAAAACATGGATATAGAACAGTTTATATTCATTCATCAGTCAAAACACATTTGTTTGCAGTTTGTGGCGATTATACAAGGCTGCTACAAACACACACAAGTTTTTGTGTGAAGATGGTTTTTATTTCTCTTGGGTAAAGACATAGGAATGGGATTTTGGGGCCATATGGGAAGAATACATAGGCCTTCAGAGGAAACCACCAACTGATTTTTTTCACAGACTGCACTATTTTGCATCACAATTAGCATTGTATGACAGACAGTTCCAGTGGCTGTGCATTCTCTGGCAGTTGGCATTGTCCAATTTTGGGGATTAGGAAGGGCCATATGTTTGTTGCTCTTAATTTTCATTTGTGTGTGTGTGTGTGTGTGTGTGTGTATTTTTTTTTCAATGCTGTTATACCCAGGGTATCACTCATGTCAGCCAAGTGCTGTATCATGGGGCCATAAAGTGTTTTTGATCTCAAAAAAAATACAAGGTCTTTGTGAAAATCCGTGGGGCTTTTTTGATACAGAGGGGAATGTGGATTTAGCCTAGGCCACTCTCTGGATGTTTGGATACCAGAGGTCTTTAAGCATTTTTGATAGTGGAAAAGTTGTTCATCTCCCAGTAGGTAATGTATGGCTTTTGACGGCACTGCAAAGACTTAAAAGGATGAGGAGATAATCCTTGCTTATTTTATAACTCCCTTTTCTGTAATGTTTTGTTTCTCCCCAAGAACCTGGGCTCTATCCTGGGATTGTGGACCTGTTTGGACTTGGAGGTGGCCTTCTGGAATACCGAGCTAGTCTGCTGGCTGGCAAGGGTTTTGCTGTAATGGCTCTGGCTTATTATGGCTATGATGACCTTCCCCGGAGCCTAGAGACTGTGCACCTGGAGTACTTTGAGGAAGCTGTGAACTACCTGCTCCATCACCCTGAGGTTAGATCTCTTCTTAGTTTTGTGGGCTGCTCCCCACCTCATGCGTGCTTTTGGTTTCCCAGAAGTCAGCCCATTCTTCGGGGCCTCTCCTAACCCAGCAGCCACTGCCTTGCATAGGCACTTCTCAGTGATACTTCTGGGCAGTTCTACATTATCACATTTCCTGTTAGTAAAGAGCTTGCTAGTTGGTATTCTGGAATTCTGAATTCCAGTTTGTTTTAGTATTTCATAGGGTACCTTTGAGAACCTTGAAATTGACAGGAAGTAAATGGTAAGAAGAAGCCATGACCTTCCCCAGGAGGTGCCTGCTTGCCAGTCTTTGTGCTCAGCCACCCTCTCTCCCCCATACCCCTGTGAGAGCACAGGGATAACCTTAAAGGGGGAAATTGACAGCCATCACCTGGCTTCCTGGAATAGTTTGTGGTTTTTAGACTCAGTGTAGCCAAGAATGAGGAGGCAATCCTTGCTAATTTTAAAATTCAATCAGGGCACAATATGGATGGAAGCACTGGAGTTCTTAGAAAAGGTGATATGGTTGGGCGTGGTGACACACACTTGTAATCCCAGCGGCTCAGGAGGCTGAGGCAGGAGGATCACAATTTCAAAGCCAGCCTCAGCAACTTATCAAGGCTCTAAGTAACTTAGTGAGATCCTGTCTCAAAAGAAAAAAAAATTTTAAAAAGGCTGGGGATGTGGCATGTAGGTCATTGATTAATCGTCCCTGGGTTCAATATCTAGTACCCCTCCAAAAGAGAGAGAGAGAGAAGAAAAGAAAGGTAATATGACTAGGCACTGTGATACACACCTATAATGTAAGCAATTCTGGATGCTGAGGCAGAAGATTACAAGTTCAAGGCCAGCCTGGAAAATTTATTGAAACCCTGTCTCAAAATAAAAAAATAATGGGCTGGGGATATGACTTAATGGTAGAACACCGCTGGGTTCAATTCCCAGTTCCACACAGACACACACACCCTCACACCAATTATGTAGTTCCTAAAGCAGTCAGAAAGTATATATTATACACACTCACTCACACACACACACACACACACACATACATATATATATTTAGTTGTAGATGGACACAATACCTTTATTTTATTGTTTTATTTTTTTACATGGTCCTGGGGATCGAACCAAGTGCCTCACACTTGCTGGGCCAGTGCTCTACTGCTGAGCCACAACCCAGCCCCAGAATGCATATATTTTAAAGATCAGAAAACACACTTTCTCATGTTCAATGTCAAGGGGTGACCCTCCTTGAAGGGCAAGGAAGCTCCTTTTCTGAGGACTTGTTTCCTCATTCAGGAGAAGGGCCTTATGCAGGCCAGGCTACCCTGCCTCACTATGTGTGACTGCACAGGACTCCCTGCAGTTCCCAGAGCACCGGCTCTCTTCCCTATGCTTGTGCCATGCCATCTGCTTGGAATTCTCTCTTCACCTCCTTTTCCTGTCAAAGAATCAGTTGATTAAAAAGGTTATACAGGATAGGCTGGGGTTGTGGCTCAGCAGTAGCGCTCGCCTAGCACGTGTGAGGCCCTGGGTTTGATCCTCAGCACCACATAAAAATAAATAAATAAAATAAAGGTATTGTGTTCAACTACAACTAAAAAATAAATATATTTTTAAATTTTTAAAAAATATATTTTTAGTTGTAGTTGGACACAATACACTCTACTGCTGAGCCACAGCCCCAGTCCCCTAAAAAATAAATATTAAAAAAAAATAAGTTATAGGAGCCAGGTGTGGTGATACATACCACTAATCCCAGATACTCAGAGGGCAGAGGCAAAGAGATCTCAAGTTTGAGGCCAGCCTCAGCAGCTTAGTGAGGCCCTAAGCAACTTTAAGAGACCCTGTGTCAAAACAAGAAAGGGTTGTGGATGTAGCTCAGTGGTAAAGTGCCCCTGGGATGAACCTTAGTATCAAAATAATAATAATAACAATAATAATTATTATTATAATAACAAAAAACAAAATGATACATGGTGTAGTGGAAACAGTTACAATATCAAAATAATAATAATAACAATAATAATAATTATTATAATAACAAACAAAATGATATATGTGTAGTGGAAACAGTTACAATCTGGAGAATAGATAGAGCTAGATTCAGGCTCAGATCCACCCAATTTCCCCTGTGGGCACTGTTCACTCTATTACACTGTTGGTAAATTCACTCTTCTTATTCTTCTGTCCCATTTTCAGGTAAAGGGTCCAGGGATTGGGCTGCTT